AAGGATGTACTTTACTTTAACCTTTGTAATAACGTGTAAAATGTTGGTGGTGGGACTATTTTCGCCTCACATGTTCATTCATTTTTAGAAAACCTTTCCATAGATATGTTTGTTTGGCCTTTAGTCCTTGATTTTTGAGTCACGTCTGACTTTACACTTGTATATAATTTTTGACCTATTGTAATAAATGTAATAATTTGTGACAAGAGAAATTTATTTGACAACCCCTCCCTTTGTATACCAACTATTTTGACCTTGAACTTTGACCTTCATTTGACAAACTTTAACGTTGGCTATAACCTTTTAACAGTTGCTGCTAGAGCTTTAACATTTGACCTATGTATTTCCTATGACAAGGGCTTCCACTTGGTGCCTTTTATAAACATACGTAAAAAAACTTCAATTTTAGAGTTGATTTAGTATAAAGGTACAAAAAAACATTGATAAGATAAAAGTAAAATATTTGATTTTGCTGTTTTCTACTACATTACAAAGCTATCTGATGAAGTAGACATCTGTTTTCACATATATTGTTGTTTTGTTGAGTTTATACCTCAAAATAAATAATTTTATTGTATGATGCAGCCCAAATATTATCATTTCGTTACCAGTTTGTTCATCTTTAACTTAAAATTTTCACCTTCCAAGATATTGTGGGCACTAAACATCATATCACACATGTAATATTTAATGTTCCAATGAATGTAGAAGTTTAATAAAAATATGTATAAATTGTCAATTGTCTTCTTCATAATAAAAGTGCACCATACACTTCAGTATTATGTGACACAGCTAGGTCTCAAAAACAGGAAATCAGTACTGAAATATTTTGTCGTCGGAGAAAGCATAAGTAACATATTTACTACAGCCGGGTTACAGAAAGCAAGTTTGAACGCGTGCAGATAATGTGCTATACACATTTGTGTGATTACTTTTGTATCGAATGGATTTGATATGTGATATATACTTATGTTTGAAGTTTATTCAATATTCGTATTCGTGTGTAGACAGTTACATATTTGAGTCGTGAATTTGGTTCTTTAATTCTGTTGTGTACCACCAACGTGATCCTTTCGTAAGCAGCCGGCTTAGAACTATATGTACTTTTCTGTTCAAATGACTAATTGTTTTTTTTTTTGGCAACATTACGTACTTTTGTATGGTGTCAAAATTCTCTAGTGTTTTACAGTTTAAAGCAGTGTTAACATGTAATCAAAATACTTATTTGAAAAAAAAAGTTGAAATGGATAAAATCATCTCCGCAACAGGTAGGACATTATACTATCTCTCTCTGTGTGTATGTGCGTGTGTGTTTTTTGTTCAGTTGTTCATCCATGCATTTCAGTAAAGCGGATTTCTCTCTCACTCTCTCTCTCTCTCTCTGTGGACCCCTACCCTAGGTACAGGGAACTCCTAAGATCTTAAAAAGGTAGTATATGTGAATTGAACGTTCTATTCTGTCAATTAAAAATATACACGACCTAGCCCCAGCAACTAATGTGTTTCAATTGAGCCGCCTTCCCTAACTATCGTTTTTAACAATCTTGGTTAATTAAGTATATATTTTTTATCTTGTTGACTATAAAAAGGTTCATTACTCTTATCTCTCGTGCTCCTAAACTAATGCAAAACTGTGCACGAATGTTAAAGAAATTATTTGAATATTCATTTTAGTTTTAAAGTATTATTGTCGTTGACTAGGATTTCCAAACAAAGCTCTTAATTGACTTTTTATTCATTTAATTGTTATTTTATATCTATGATTGGTTGAAAGAAAATATTTAGGCATTTTAAATCTATTTTACTATGCTCGATATTGTGTTAAATAAATGGTTTCAAAAGGACTCAAGAAGACATTTTTTTTTGTATTTTGCATTAAAAAAATATATATGTATAAAGACAAAGTATATTTCTTATATAATTTTCAAACCTTATCGTTCAAAACAAAATTTCATTTATAAAAAAGTTAGACTATATCATATATAGAAAATGGAAAAACGAAATTCAAAACTTATGTTTAAAAAAAGTTTCCTTTTATTTTGATACAAATCAAAATTGTATTGAGTCCGAATGGAATAATATTAATTGGAAATCTTTACCACTTAAAAAATACTTAGCTGTCAGCGTCTTTTTTAATAAAAAAAAGTGTTGGATATTTTTTTGATGCGCACATGAATTTATTATAGCAATTAAAATCATTTTATTGTAAAATAATTATATTAAATGTCATATTACAAAAACACATTTCTGTGATCATATTATATCACCGAAATTTTTTTAAAAAAATAAATTAAGAAATCAAAATCGTGATACTCTTATTAATAAAGGTATCCAGTAATGATTGATTGTTAGACTTTATATTTGCTTATTGGTATATGTTATTATCATGCACCTTAATATTATTTCATGTCTTTGTTTAATTATAAATACTTAATTGCGCTGCTGGAAAATACTTTAAAAATAATTAATCTTATTAAATAAATGGTATCCTCATGCATCTCATCAGATTCATAAGAAAAATTTTTAAAGCTCGATAGCAAATAAAAGTACTTTTTCAAAAATACATAAGTAAGTCAGTAAATGAACTTAAAAAATATTTGCTTGTGACTTTTAAAAATACTTCGGTGTTTGTAGTTTGTAGATTTTGAAAGATTTAAAACATTTTAATTAAAATAACAAATAATGGGACAATTATTTTTCTGGATTCCTATTATTAAGATTTGAAAAATGCATTTCCCCATTAATCTCACTTCATTAACATTGGTACGCATGAATGTTCGTGAATTTAGTAAAATTAACAATTTCAAGAAAAGAAGAAAAAAAACTTAATAATAATGGCCTTGTCCCCATAAGCTTCAGCGGAAACAATCACGCAACAACAACAATGAAAAGAATATTTTAATTTTTTTATTAATATATAAATTTATAATAATTTTTACTCATCTGTATTTTGAAAGTCGGGGATCTCTAGCATTTACAATGTTGTATATATGTTATGTCAATAAAAATAGAGGAATTTCATTGATCTAGTCCATTGTAAGATGAAAAAATAAAATCAGATATTAAAACAGATATTCCAGATAACACAATTAAGATAGACTTTGATTAAGCCATCGTTAATCTAATCACGAGAAAGGTGAGCAGGTTTCTCAAAGCATGAAACGAGTTTTGTCTATAAGAATAACCTATGGATGTAATTAAGTGTGGTAATGTGGTGTGAAAGGTAAATAAGCAAAATACTTTATTACCTTTAAAACAAATTGATACATCTGGATGCCTATATTTAATATACCTGTTATTTATGGGATTTGTTTGAACCTTAAATCTTTTAAAACAAAATTTTGAATTTTTAATGTGAGCAAGGTTGTTTATATCCGCCAACATTTTTCAAGACAAAACAAACATATAAGTATCACACTCAATTAAGGGGCCCTATAAAGGGTACAGGTAGAGTCAACCTCTATGAATTAACTATACCTGTATTCATTTAAGGAGGAATTCTTAATCTACAGCAAAATTTTATTATGATAATGCCCCCCTCCCCTTTAAAGAAGCGAAGGCATATTGCTTTGCTGCTGTGTGTCGGTCGGTCGGTCTCTCTGTCCGTCTACTAAGTTTCTGATCATTTTCTTCACAACCGTTGCACAAACTGAAATGAAATTTGGTTTACAGATATATCAGATAAATATCTAGGACAAGTTGAATTTTGGGTACACTTGTGCCATTTTTGACAGAGTTACATGTAAGCCCCTTGGACTTCGAAAAATTCCAATTTTTTGCAGTTGCCGTTCATTTTCTTCGCCGAGGTTGCACATACTGAAATGAAATTTTATCATACAGATTTATCAGATGACTGTCTAGATCAACTTCTGTTTTTGGTACGACTGCGCCATTTTTTACAGAGTTATGCCCTTTTGGACTTTCAAAAATTAAAATTTTGGGGGGGAGGGGGGGGCATAAGTGTTTTAAAAACATCTCTCGTTTATTTAATGTTAATATTGTGCAGTGACGTTTAATTTTATTTTCAAATCTTTCTTAATAAAAAAAAATATTTTATGAAGAAATATCTGTTCAGTGCTTTAAATTACATATATCAAGTATCAAATCTTAAGTTTATTTATGGTACATGTTTAATTATACTCTAATTTGGGTGAATAAAATAAACTTTTAAACTTGAACTTAAGTACTAAATATTATTAGTTAAAATTGAAGTTTCTAATCACATTAAGATAACACAGGTAAAGTATACCTGGACGCCTAATAAGGCCTCTTAATTTGATGTGATAATTAATTGTTATTATAATGAGAAGACGTTCACTGCCTCTTTGAAATTTGGTGTGTTTTGATATAAATTAGTATCAATGAAACAAAGCATGAATCCTATTCTGTTAACACAGTTCGAGGCCACTTGATTTTCTGATGTCAGAATAAATTTGCATGTAAATTAGCTAATATGCTTACTTAACATACTACTGAATGAGCTGCAATGCATTGTGGGCTACTACAAGTACCTAGCTGTGTTGAAAGTTAAAGGCAACTTGAATTGTCCTCTTTTTTTAAATTTGTGAAAGAAATATTCAAAATGCTGCATAATCTTTCATTTTTATGCTCACATTTAAAAAAATTGCTTTATGAAGCCTTATATCAAGTTATCGGCCTAGTATACCTTTGATAAAAGAGACATATAAGTGCTATCGTGTCGATAAAACATTGAGTTTTTTCACGTGATATACGTGTACATAGCTTTCGCAGGTAGTATATAGCTCCATGTTTTTAGACAGCAGGAGAAAGTGTGCAATTATTATTTAACCCCTCAATAATATCAGAAAGTGTTTTATGTATATGCAAAAGTCAAAGCGTTTGATCGATATTCGAAGCAACTGTTAAACATCTAAAACAACTCAAATATTAAATGTGAGTATGAAGCAGTGTCTTTAGAATATAATCTTTCAATTTCGGTCGAATAAAGTTATAAAGAAGCTCTACATTTTTTTTTCCAGTGACGAGTTAAAATTTGTGCAGTAAACCGACGAAAACCACGTGTAGCAATTGAATTGTAAACACGTGGTAGACTGTTATGCTTTGGGACTCTTTCACTTGATTGGAAATCGGGCGTAACGAAGACATCGCCACGTGTTGAAAATTGCCTTCCATATAAGGTAGTGGTCTCGACCTGTTACACAAGAGACTGTATATTAAACATTGAAAAGAAATGCTTTCTCTTCTTCTAAAAAAAAGATAGATAATTCCTAAATAATTTGAAAATATATTCAACAAAATTAAAGCAAACAAGTAAAAAATCTACTTTTCAGATTTATAGTAAAGTTCTGTTCTTTCTTGGTCTAAACTATGATCTATAAACACTCAAAATCCAATCTTTTTAATTCTCTTTAAAAAAAGATTTGTAGATAATATTGAATGATATAAAATGCAAATCAAATAAAGTTTAAGAGAAGGGAGTATAATAAAGCGATTTATAATGGCATGTTCTTATAACAAGCTCTGAAAAAAATGTATCACGGAAATGCATAAATAATTTTTAACCTTTCATATGAAAAGTAGAAATTCTTGAAACTTGAATTTTCCAACTGAAATCGCTTCCGTTTTTATCTATCTTTTTGGACACTTTTCAACTAGTGCAATAAGTATGATAGGTTCATTAAAAGTTGAATACAATTTCTTTGTTGTATTCCTTCCTTGTGTTGTGGAAAGATTTGAAATATAAAGCAGGAAATATAAAATTTACAATTTCTATAAACTAATGCATGAATATGAAAAAATAAATCACTAATCTACACAAATAAACTATTTTAATTTCTTACACGCAGTCATATAACACTAAAAAATCAAGGAATTGATTGTGAATTATGTGTGAAGTAAAATAAAGTATTACATTTTTTCGCCATCGTAAATAGTACGTACATAATTCAGGAGGCTAATTTATATAAAGAATCAAGTTCAAAACTATAAATTTTTTAAACTTAAATAATCCGCCGGAAATCGCTTTCCGTTTTATATTAAACTTTTTGTACATTCATCAACGAGTGCAATAACTAAGACTGTTACAGGAGGCTTATTTTATTTAACGAATTAAGTTTCAATCAAGTTGAATTCAATATAGATAAAATGGGTAAATCCGAATCATTTTTAAAAACAAAATATAAAAGAATTAAGACATCTTTTGAAACGCAAAACACTTAATAAGTAAACCAAGTATTTAAAATTGAAAACTATGTTACAAATGTTCATGTGTTAAAGAAGGTCAAATGTTTAAAGTGACAGCAAAAATAGACCTGTTAAAATTTTCCTGTAGGATTTGGATTTTTTTAATGCTCATAAACATGTATTTACTCTTATTATTTCATTAAAATTGATAATTATTTATTGTCCATAAATATCAGCATCGCATTGTGTTCCTTGTTCCACTTTCCATGTAAAACATGCATGCGGGGTTTTCATTAACAAAACAGCATGGTGAGAAAAGAAAGTCTGATGGGCCTGCTTCATTGATAAAGTCAGCACCGAAAAGAGTCTGAAATTGGGCTTGAAAAAGCAACTTTTCTAAAAAAAAATTGTTGGCAGAAAAATATACTCATTAAATGAAGAAAAATCGGGATTTTTGTGATCCCATCCGAGTATTGCGAAGGTACTACATGTATAGAGGTTTGTTGATACATGCTATCATTTTTGCATCCCCATGGTTTTCATAGAAACCAAGAGGCCCATAGGCCTTATTGGGTACCTGATCATCGTGCAAGATCTTTCAATGATTGAATTTGGTTCATGTTTTAAACTAGACATTGCTCATAACTATACACTAAGCATGCTTACTTTGGTTACTTAATACCCATAGACAGAGTAGGAGAACAAAAAAATGCATTTCGACTAATCAGTATTGTTTAGCAATAATCGGTCGTGCCACTACCACACATGAACCCCTGACCCTTGGTCCATACATTTCACAATTTTGGAAAAGACATCCTTGCTTATTAAAAATGTTTGAGTAATACCAATGAGCAAATTTCAATCAATTAATTCATTTTCAGTATATAAGTAGAGCCCACCCATCCCCTCTATGGTACCCCTGACTCAGGGGCATTCAAATTCAAAATTCAGGAAGAATAACCCTTGCTCAACATAGCTATATTGGTAGTTCATTTGCTTAATAGCCAGGAGCAGAAAAGAAAATTCCCAAAGGTTTTCTTATATGAAATGGACGTGTTACAAATGTCATCTGTACATGTACATGTCACCGGCGTGGTTAAGTGATAAGAGCGTGCTTTTTCAGAGTCGTAGAACAAGGAGCTTATCCTAACGTAGTGGCTTTTAATTCAGTTGTGGACGTGGAGACCAATTTTCGGATGACACCATACAAACCGAATTCGCTCCTCACATCAGGTGCTAGCACCAAAATGATTCTTCACTGCTTTATAGCCCTAAAGGACGAATTTTGGTCAATATTTGGAGCGCTCTAGCCCCCTCCTTTTATTAGTGAAACGTTTTGAAAGGGGAGGGTGTTAAACAATAACAAAAGAAAAAAAACAGACATGCGTACATGTAACAACTTTATGAAAAAAATATGCCATAAATACAATCATGAGAAAAAGTTAAGTAATAGACCAAAGGATAGAGATGAAGTGTGAATCAACTAATTATGTCCAGATCACTAATTGTCAAAGTAACTGTTAATTATGCTTTCTTTGACTTAAGGGAACATGTGTTGCTATATGATATCGAAAAGAGAATTTTAAGAGTGTGATAATGACAACAACATTTTATAGTGAAAAATACCTTTTGCTTGTCTTTTTAGAAATACATATGGTAGGTCGGGGATTTTCTTTATAATTTTTTTCCACAAAACAGGTATTGAAGTAAATGTAGGTCTTGAATCAATAAGTTTCAGTTTTGTTTTTTATGATTCAGCGGAAGTCAGAACTCCAGCAATGTTAAATACAAGTAAGCATAAAAATAAAAGAACTTCTCTTACAAAAAAAAATTATAATAACTTATTTAATATTTATTATTAAAGTTTCAAAGTTTTCACTTTAGTTGATGAAAGTTTCAAAGTGTTACTATAGTTAATCGAAATTCCAAAGTAATGACTATAGTAAATCAAATTCTTCTCAACAGTTTCCCTTCATTACATGAAATATGCAACTTTAATAAATTTGTGTATCCATTAAAACAATTATGTGGTTTTATAAGGCTACCGCATACCGCATTCTTTTAAAATGCGAAATAGTTGCCGGGTACTAAAGAATATGATCGAATCTTACACATTAACGTATAAAAATCAATCTCTATGACGTCTTAAAAGCATTTTATCCGATTATGAGAAGAAAAAAGGGTCAATAAAGCAAATGAAATCCATAACGTCGCAGGATGTTCAAGAGGTTTATAACATTACAATGTACATTGCTGTAATGGTAACATATATACTGTCACAATGAGCCATTGCACATTTGAAAGTTACATTCGCCTACTCTAGTAGCGATATTTTAATACATTGTTCATAATGTTGTCATACAATGTTAGTTTATATATACCTTAAAAAAATTACACAAAAATAATATTTAAATATTAACAGTACCCTCATATGATAGATATAAAAATCTCTTAGTTTATATGGAGAATATAGTACATGCTGAGGTATCCCTATCAATAAATAAATGAAAAACTGTAGCAAAAGACCTCCCTTAAGCAGAAAAACAACTTCTGAATAATTTAATATGGATATGACTGCACCTCACAACTTTTAGATAATTTTTTAAAAGTTGGTCGTCAATGTTTATTGAAAATGTTGAAAATATGTATTTAATATATTGAAAATGTTGAAAATATGTATTTAATTTTTCAAAATTATTTTCAGATTCAACAATTTGTCTTAAATTTATCCATCCGATTACAATGATTTCATGGCGTAGCGGTATGATTGCTGGATTGTAGACATAATAATCGTAAGTTCAAGTCTCACAATACGTGTGTCTTATCTATCCTTTTAAATTTTTTTTTCTTTGTGCATTTTTCCCATGTTTTCTTTCATTCTTTTATTTTACATGTTTTAATAATGTAAAATATATATAATATAACATTACACCTTGAAAGTATTTATGGGAAAAAACAGTCCTAAACTATTTTTATGACCACATGTCATTAGTGCTAGCTTATTTTATCTTTTAAATTTTCTAAAAATCCTGTTTAGAATAAGAGTATTTAACAAGCAAACTGATTGTCATGTAACAAACTTGAAACTATGAAATATAACACTTGTCTACAAATGATTACATACATGTTGTTTGATCTTGAATTGAAAAGGTTCATGTATCTATAAAAAGAAACGGGTGATTTCCTTTTAAATGCTTGAGTCGGCTGTGTCGTCAGTAAAGCAGCTATAGCTATTTCATTTAATTTAGTTTTTGTGCCACTGGGTTTTCCTCGAAAAGCGGACGGAAACAAATCATAAAACAAAGCCTACTTATTAAGTCAGAAACAATGTGTGTGCTTCACATAAAAACTATGTAGATATACAGCTGTGCAAGAAAGGAAACAAAAACTTTTTTTTAAAAAAGCTCATGGTTAATCTTTTTGAAAAAGATAGTAACAAAAAACATTAGAACTTTAATAAAAAGTACTATAGTAAAATTTGAAAAAAACTACAGTATCAAATTCGAAACTTTGAATTTTTCATTCACTTTAGTACTAGCAATAGAACTTAAATTTTCTTTATTGTAATCTATGGAACTTTGATTTTTTAAAGTCCATAGGAAAGACATTAACAATTTGATTTCAATAAAGAAAACTTTGGAACATTGATGAACTATGGTGGAAACTTTGAAACTTTTGTAAACAATAGTATCAACTTTGATTTAATATAATCTAGTATAGTATGATATTTAATTAAACATTTTTTGTTGTTGTATATTTATTGTATTGTATTTCTATTTGAACACACAACAATAGGATCAAATTCCCACTCTAGAAACCACTTAGCCATGAAATCCCATGTAACACATCCATTTCACGTTATAAGACCTTGTATTATAAAATTTCAGACAATGTACTCATTACACCCTCTGCTTGAAAAGCGGGAGGGTATATAGTAATCGTCCGTACGCCCGGCCGTCCGTCTGTTACGCTTTTAAGTACCCATCTCTTGTCTGCAACTTCTCTCATACAAGAGAGAAGATTTATTATGGAAATTTAATGAAACTTTCATAGAATCTTTATTACATATTGCCATTGTGCACCTCCTATTTTACATTTTGATCTGACATATATTTTGAATTTTGAATTTTCCAGAGCAAAATATTATATTCATATGGGAGGCGGGATATCATTTAGTGAGCTCATTGCTCATAGTACCTCTAGTTTGGATTAAAGAGGACTATTTTTTAATGATTTAGATACATTTATCTATATTTGATATCTTTCTGGGGACATTTTATAAAACCATTTCTTAACTGAATGACTGATGTGTAGTTGCAATAATAAGCAATGATGTCTTAGTGTCCTTACATTTATAAGGACATTTTGACATGTATCTTCAACGTTTGAACTACTCCCTAACACATTAAATTTGTAACATATTTTTCAATTTAGCAAGTGACAGCAGAATGTATTTGTTGTAGAATTGATAGTGACTGTTTCTTTCATCGTTATATATAACGTGTATGGAAAATGTAAATTAGACATTTCCTTTTTTTATATTTCATTCCCCCCCCCATGAAACAAGGAAGGAATTTAATTAGGAGATGTATTCAACTTTTCATATACCAGTAATATTTATTGCACTCACTAATAAGTGTCCAACAAAATAAAATAAATCGGAAAGGGATTTCGGGTGGAAAATTTAAATTTCAAGAAATTATAGTTTTTATATCAACGGTTAAGTAACGTGTTATACTGTGGAAAGATATGACAAAAATATTTGTTTTAAACCACAAGTCTCTGATAAGCCTGTAGCAAATACTTTTTTTATTTTTGTTGGCAATTATGTAAGTATGTAATATCTTAAAGAAGGCTACACTTATGTTCCCAGTAATAGTGAAATAAAAAACAAAATCTTTAGGAAGAGAAGTATTTTGAGAGTATTTCTAGTTGTAGGAAATTTCCATTTAAATAAACATGGTAACAACATTCACTGAAAACAAAAATCTTAACAAACTGTTGCGCAACGCTGTATAGTCCATCTGTGTGCCAAATTAGATTGAAATGAAACAAAATAATAGGAGCAAAAGCGTTTTTAAGGACTTTCACATAAATTAATATATTTAGTAACCGTGACAACACAAGTCATCGAAAACAACACTAGTCATCGAAAACAATGAACTAAATTATATACTTAAGTGTAGGTTACTTCTTTGTGATTTCATAATGAAATCATAAATAAAACTGCAGGAGGAGCAGCGTTTTAAAAAAATGTTTACAGACAACTAAACACCTAGACGGACGACGGACATTTTTATATTGAATGAGCCTTTTTCTGTCTGACTTGTTTGTTTATTTACACTCAGACCATATAATGGTATAATGAGGTAAGAAACATATTTACATATATACAAAATACAAAGTCAAGTAAAGAAGAGTAGAGTCAAATAAGAAAATAGTTACTAAAAGCAAGCCACTATCTTTTTAGCAAACAAGGCAGTTTTAACAACCAGTCAAAATTTGTGATAGGCATATGTTTCTTAAATTTATAAGTATTTACGTGATAACAATACTTCTTATCAATAAGTTTTACCCGTAAAGACAAAAATTATGGACATTCCATTACATAGTGAAATTCATAGTATTTTTGGTACATTGATTACATAATCTTAAAGATCTATCAGTATTAGTCAATCTACCAGATTCGAATGGAAGTTTGAAGCTACAAGTTCTAAATTTTGTTTGTATAATTCTTAAGTCTTTTGGGAGTTTACTTGAATACATTTCTCGCCCAAAATTGTTTTTGAAAATCCTGTAATTCATACATTTAGATGAATTTGCTTTGCTCTCATGACAGTCTTGTAAAAATGGATTTAACAACATCTTTTTCACAATAGATTGTAGCCATGTAATACTTATGGAATTTCGATTCATCAACACATAAGAGAGACCACAGAAATTCAAGATATCTCTTATACATTTTAACCATAGGTTCATAAATGATCCTTCAGAAAAGAAAGAAATATACATATACTCTAATCAGTTCATTTAGTATTTCAATAACATGGATATTTAACACCGACTAAATTATTCATAGATCTGTTTCTCTTTGTTCTCTGCTGCTCTCGTTGAGAAGGCCAAATTTTACCTCCGAGACAACATGGTTCTGTCTACACCTTTTGTGACAAAGTCTTTCTGTGAAAGGTCATTTAGGAAATGAAACATTTTTCATAATGAGACTTTTTTCGGTAATGGACGTGTTTTGTGTATAGAGAGTGTGACTATACACATTGGGATTCTATTACAGATAGTCATGATATATATACAGACCCTAAACCGTGCTACTACACCACTTGCATGGTACGGTTCGGTACGCTTTGTTCACGAAAGGTTCGCTTTGTTCACGGTACGGTACGCTTTGTTCACGGAACGGTTCGCTTTGTGCACTGAACGTTGCGCTTTGTGCACGGTACGGTTCGCTTTATGCACGGAACGGAACGCTCTGTGGACGGTATGTTTCGTTTCTTGCACGGAACGGTTCGTTTTTGAACGGTACGCTTTGGGAAACGGTATGCAAATGAAGTGGGCGGAGCCTGTTAATTTGGTCATTGATTGGCTGCTAAAAAATAGTCGAATTGAAACAAATTTTGAAGATCGTTATGCACGTGTACAATTTCATTTCACTTATTGAAGAATGTAATTTATTTATTATTCATATAAATTGAAGTATTAATGAGTTTCTATTTATTAGGGAAGTTCAAATGTTTTATTACGTGTACATGTATGCTATTATTGTGTTTATCATAGCTATGTTTCGGTTTCAATTTTAAAAATCAATTAACACTGGAGCAGTGATGGAGGAAATAAGAAAATAAAATGAAAGGAAAAACATCGTGCCACTGATCTTTTTGGTATTTGTAAATATATTGATATATAGAAGGTAGATATTTCCGTATGTATTTTAATTTACGTATGCCGAGGCTGTGTATTAAATAGAAAAAGACACACATGTATATAATAATTTTTCTTTCTAGAATAAAGCTTTATCAGAATTAATTATATATACTTGTTCTATATCTAACACTAGGCCCCTATACACGTATATAAATTATTTTCAATAGAAAAAAATATCAATATTCGTGCTTTTATTTTTAATATTAGTAATAAAAATGTAGATTGTTTCTCATTTTTTAAAATTGTTGGATCTATCAATTAAATGTCTGCCTTAGAAGAGAAATATCAGTAACAAAAAATAAATTTATTATTAAAAATATTGAAGAAAAATAATTTTTAAAATTTTACAGGGCATAGAATACTTGTTTGTTTTTTTTTTCTTTCTTCTTAAGTTAATCTTTATTTAATCTGAAAATCTTTAATTACTCTGAATTTAGATACGAAAATCAGAAGCAGAAACTCGGAATCAATAAAATGACTTCCGATCGCATTTCGCGTGTAGAAAACATTTCTTTTCATAAACTAGTATTATGTTTTTAAAAATCCTTTCAGTCTAAGTAATTATTTAAATGTTTTTCTTCATTTTGAAAAAATATTTCTTTCTTGTAAAACGTGTAAATACTATGTCGAGAAAGAGAGAGAGAAAGAGGAAGAGATGCAACCCCGTAACATAATCTGTAAAAAAAAAAAAGAAAGAAAAAAACCTTGTATTTATCTCATTCTTCGTTTCATTTACATCGCCAAAGTCATAGATGCTATTTAATTTCCACAACTGTGGTTCAAACTCAACATATTTACAACTTTTGTGCAATGAATTCGTTCTCTGCAAATACATGCTGTACGCAGGAAATCCTTTTGCATCACCTGTCAATCAAAATCGCATGACGCCAGGTGACCTTGAAAGTCTGTTTACGCG